GCCCCAGGCCACTCTGGAAAACACTCCTGGGTTTGGACATGGGTCAGCCTCTCCTGAGAAGAGCTGCCTTCTCCTTGCTCGACAACGGCACACGTCCTCAGGCCCTTTTGTAAGGAAACAGCAGACACTCGGGACGGCGGGGCATCGTGACGGCCACCCAGGGCCAGCAGGCGTGGGGCTGCCTCCCTGCTCAGGACGTGTTGTACCAGGAGCCGTGTGGGACGGCAGAGGAGCCCCACCTCTGAGCCTGTGAATAAACAAGGCTCACGGCCTCGGAGCGCTAGGTCCACCTGCCCACAGTCCGCGAGAACCTCGCTGCCTTGGTGGCAACAGCCCGCTCCAGGCCAAAGGTCATGGCAAGGCCCTGCGGCGGGTCGTGGGGGGAGAGGTTGCCGTCTGTGAGCCTGGCAGCCGCCCACCAGGACAGGGCACTCGTGGGGCTAGGGGGGACTTTGCTGGAACGAGCCCCCAGGACTGGCCAAGTGGCCCAAGCATTGCGGCCAGGGAAGCCCTGAGGCCCGACACCTAACCCGCTCCTGGAACGCAGCCACCACGGCCCCTGCGCCCCAGTCTCAGTGCGGGGAGGAGGCAGAGGCGGGCTGCCTGCAGCCACTGGGACGCAGGCTCCTGAGGAACATGGAGGCAGCAGTGGAGCGTGAACTGAAAGAAAACCTGGAATTCCATCTCCAGAGCAAGACTGTTCCAGGAATGAAGGTGAAACTGAAGATTTTCCGACAAAGGAGCTGGGAGCGCCCAGCAGCCCCACTCCACCCACGGGGTCTGCGGCAGAAGGACCCCCAGCCAGCGCCCAGCACGGCAGGAGGGGCCCCAGGGACGGGGTGAGCAACACCTTCCTCGTTAGTCCCCTCTGAGACAGCTGCTTGAGCGAACTATTAGGAACGCAGTGCGGGGTCAACAGCTGAAAAGTAAACCCGAGTGACCAGGGCGCACAGGTGGCGGGGGCGGGGCAGGCCTGGGGCCCCGCAGGCACACGGAGCACAGCGCAGACCCTGGGAAAGAACCCGGAGCTGCAGGCACGGGGAGCAGCCTGCAGGGCCCGGGTCTCCAGCCGCTCGTGACAACAGCGAACCCGCTCTCCCAGGAGGGAGCTCAGCAGCTGGCCTCCTTCCAGGCTCCCTGTGCAGCTTTGAGACAAAGTGAGATCCTGGCCGGGAGCCCAGCAGAGCTGGGCTGTTTGCTAGGAAGCGAGTCTCCCTGTGGGAGACTGCGGCACACAGACGCATCGCTCCCAGGGCTCACCTCCCCGGGAAGGGAGGCGGCCCGACGGGATCTGGACACCAGGTTCCCGAGTCCCGCAGGTGGCGTGTGGGCCCCACGGGGGCATTTCACTTGACGGTCTGGTGGATGGTCCACGTCCCAGCCCCCGGGAAACTGGTGTCGCTACCCAGCCCAAGGCCATGCTCGCTCCCCCCAAGTGTCCTGCTGCCTGGGCTGGGGGTGCTGCTGGCTTCCCTTCGACCCTCACTGGGAGCGTAGCACACGGCGGGGGCCACAGCTCTTTAACCAGGGGGTCAGACGGACCGTGAAAGGGAAAGGCTTATTTTAAGAGACCCCCAAATGGCAGTGATGGAGACACAGAAACAAGGGCTTCACTGAGAGACCCTCCCCGTTTCCCACACTCGGGACACAGCCGCCCTTGCAAAGGGAGACCCCGCCCCTCCCTCCACGAGCTGGGCGGCCTCGGGGTCACTGCCCAGGGCCTCCTGTGTGAGGGCACAAGGCCGGGGCACAGCCACGTGGAGACTGCTGACTGGCCGCCGGCCCAGGACCTTCTCCCCAGAGCCCCACGACCCCACACCCAGCGCTGGCCCAGCCTGGTCTTTCGGGCCCACAGCCGCCACGAAGAGCCCACGCAGAGCCCACGCTGGGTGGACCATGGAGCGGAGGAGCAGGCGTGCAGGCACCACAAGAGGGGTGGGAGGGTTAACGGGCCTGCTTGCGCACAGGACTGAGCGTTCCGCCTTTTATCAAAGCAGCGTCTGATCACAGCGGCCAAGCCGACTGGAACCTTCCCGCCTCTGTGCAGCCGCAAAATTCTGACTGTGATTCTACGAATTCAGGGGAATTGCATTGCCTAGCTGTCTGCCCTGGTAAACAAGGGCTCCTGCCATTCTCAAATTATGCTGTAGAAGCCCAAAATGTGTTCACACCGAGGGGAGGAGGAGCTGGCGGGGGAGAGGGGCAGGGAGGGGGACCTCCTGGGTCTAAAGTAAAGAATCTAGGACATTACAGTGTCTTTCTGAGCCAGAGGGACAGAGCCCCGCGCTTCCCTCAGACCCGCCTCCTGGCCCGCCTGGCCCTTGACAAGGACAGGGCTCCAGGCTCCCCCGGGACTGGCCACCAGCACCGTGGGCTGTGGCAGGGCCAGGGCAGTTCTCAGGGAAGTGTCAGGGTGAGGTGAAGACAAGCCACCAAAAGCATGGTGAGGATGGGGGTGTGGTGCGGGACGGCAAAGGAGGGCTCTGGCCGGGGGCCCGGGTGGACAGCACCTGAAGGCCGTGGTTCTGGCCCAGAGATGGATGAGCATGGAGGCTCCCCACCTCGATCACCCGGTGCCCTGGGGCACACGGGGCCGCCCTGATCTCAGCTCCAGGAATGCGGATCTTCCCTGAAGAGGTTCCTCCCGCACCCAGGAGAGGAAGCACTCGCTGACCGAGGGACCCCGTCCATGGAGAAGTGGCCGTGGAACTCAAAGCCCTGCGGCCGGGGGGTCGGGGGCCCTGTTTCCCTCCGAGTCTCTGTGGCCCGCCGGCGACGGGCCTGATTCCTGTGTCTGTCGCTGCTGTGACCACACAGCTCCCTGGGCCCTTCGTGAGTGAGCGTGTGGTGTGTGTCGGGGAGAGCTCCTTGTGTAAGAACCACGTCACCCGCCCCTCAGGCCCCCACCCCCGAGACCCCGCCAGCCCACCTGCCGGGCCCTTACCTGGCCCACTCTTTGAGCTCTCTGTGGGACAGCGAGTGCCCCTCCCGAAGGGTCACCACTGCAGTGACCCGCTGGCCCCACGTCACATCTGGAACTCCGATCACAGCCACGTCTGGAGGAACAAGGAAGGGGCTCCTGAGAAGCAGTCGAGGCGACCAGTGCAGGTGCAGCAAGGCCGGGAATGTGGGGGAGATGCCCGGGACCCGTGGCCCCTGGGAGAGCCCGCCCAGTGGCCAGAAATGGGGTGCAGCGTCCCTGAGGAGTCCAGGACGGCCCCCTCCACCAGTCCCGCCCCGGACACCCAGTCAACCTGGACTCGTCCATGAGGAGGCCCCAGTTCCCAGACGCCACACACCCGCGATGCTGGGATGGCCCAGCAGGAGCCGCTCCACCTCCAGGGCGCTGACCTTGTAGCCGCCGGTCTTGATGATGTCCACGGACGTGCGGCCACGGATCCAGTAGCTGCCGTCCTTGAACACGGCCGTGTCACCTGGGGAGAGGCTCTGTCAGGAGGCGCCTGGCCCTGGCTGTGGCTCTGAGCCGGTCAGGTGTGCACACGTGAGCCCTGGGCGTCGAGGGCGTCAGGGCCGCTCTGCAACAAGGCGGCAGGCCACAGCAGCGGCTAGGACCTCTGAGAGGCCAACCCAGGAGCCTTGTGGCTGGGTCCCCACGCGGGCGGCAGCATCCCAGGGGAACAGCCGGTGCCCCTCCTGCCCTTTCTCAGGACAGTGGAGTAGGAGACATGAGAGAACTGGGGCCTCTCGCTATCCCTCCCTGGCCTGGCCACGGCAGAGCCCTGGTGGGATGCGGTGTCGCTGTGGCCCCCTCTCCTGATGGGGCTCCATGTCACATGCAGTGTCTCGCAGGGAGTCTGACCAAAGGAAGGGATCCTTGTGTCCAGGCTCAGGGCGATGCCTTGGCACCTCCCTTCCCTGGCTGAGCGTGGGAGTGTGCACACACGCATGAGCCCCATGTGCATGGACATGGGAGCGTGTGTGTGAGGGCTGCGTGGCGCTTCACCGCCTGCTCTTAACACACCCCTCGCTTCACGCGAGTTAGCAGCTGGAATAAATCACAAACGTTTTGTGATGCATCACGATGCCCAGCGCAGGAGGTGCCGCCCATCACCTTGCACTCCTGCGACCCGCCGCGCGCGGGGCCCCAGTCTGTTAAACAAGACGGATGGCTGCGCCTGCTCACGGTGCAGCGGGAGGCCGGCCCGAGCTCAGGGCTGCAGGTGTGGCGAGCCATCCTGCCCCGCAGGAAGCGGAGGAAGGGGAGGAGCGGGAAGCTGTTGTGGTCCCTAGACAGCCTGACTGGGCAGGAGGCTGGCCGGTGGGAAAGGACATGGCGTGGAGGGTCAGGTGGGACATGGGGTCTGGATGCGGTCTGTCCTCAGTTCCACGAGGCCCACAGTGGCCCCCCTCCCATCTCTGCTGTGCTGCCCTGGCTCCGGCCACACTGGACGGCTGTTTGGCCTCCTGACAATTTCCCGACCATCGACCACGGGCCCCTTAAATGCACCAGACCAGGTGTCTTGGCCGCCCATCGCCCAGGCGAGGCTGCACTGGCCCTCAGGTCCCTCCAAGGGCCTCCCGACCTTGCTCCCACTGGCTGCTACCTGCTAGGGACCTTGGTTCCATCTTCTCATTCTGTAAATATTGCAAGCCTCCACCACAGGCTGTCTCCTTTGGACGGGCTCTGGGCCCTCCTAACACACAGACCTGCCTGTTGGTGCAAAGTGCCCGCCTCGCAGCACTGAGCGCCTGCTACTTGACAGTTTTCGCCAATTTGGTGAAAAGCAGGCTTTGTCCCTGCATCTGTCTCTTTCTTGACCAGGAAGTGACACACCTTCCGTATTTCCATGGCAGACTGACCTCCTGCGATCGGCTGTGGCTGTGGCCAGCTTTCCTCCTGGGGGGTTGACGGGCTCACGGTCAACGCCACTGCGTGCACACCAGCCAGCTCCTCGGGACCCCGCGCCCTGCAGCCTGGCCTCGGGGACACCCTCCACGTGCGCGCCAGGCCCTCGGTGCCTCCCGCTGCTCTGCTGCACTTTTTTTTTTTACCTTAAATAGCCTTTCATGTTTTTTTCTGGTAATATTACGTGCTTGTTGTGGGAGAAAAAGAGGAAACTCAGCACCGAGACGCCCCCGTTACTGTGCTGGTGGGTTTTCTATCGGTGCTTTTCAACGCCTTCTACCAACGCCCTCGTTTGTCATTAGGTAGGAATGGTTTTACACCACGTCGCTTTTAACATTCAACCATGTGATGAGATCTTCAGAGTGAGTCAGAGATGCTGGTTCTGTTTCCTCGGGTCCAGTTCCCAGCTGCTTTAAAGCACCAAGAAGGCAACAGAAGCTGCATCCGTGTCCCCGCATCCATCCCGTGTCCTCAGCACTGACTGCAGGGTCAGTGTTCAGCCCTGAGGAGCCGGGTCCTGACATCGCTCCCGGCCCCAGGCAGGCTCGGGGGCCCGTGTGTGTGTTGAACAGACTCTCTCCAGGCCTGGGCCCAGTGGTGCTCAGGGGAACGTGGTCTGTGTCGCTGTCAGGGGCCTTTCTGGAGGGAGAGCTCTGACTCCCTCCCTGAGCAGCAGCCGAGACACCTGGGCCTAGCAGTGAGCCCCCTGCTGTTGGGCCCCAGGCTTCTTGTGGGCAGGAGGGTGGTCGTGGCCAGAGCAGGAGGGGCGGCCTCTCTCCTCCCGTCCACACGCGGGAGGCCACTGAGGAGAAGCTGGCTGGACGCGGCCCTCCTGGGGCTAGAACCTGAGCAGCAGGAGGGCTGGCTAGGGAAGGGTTAAGTTGAATTCATCCTGATTTCTATTTAATACCCTGCTGCCCCCCCCCCAACCACCCCCCAGCCTGCGCCAGAGCAGAGCTGGCACCTGCGTGCTGGCTGCAGGCTCCATAGTTTCACAGCCTGTATCGCTAATGGCCTGTGACAAAGGCGCTGGCTTCCCGGCCTCATCCCCAAGAGCCAATTAAACACATATACTCCCTTCCTGTTTGCTGCACATTACAATGAAATTAAACTGAATTTCAAAATCATTTTCTCATAAACACATTTCTTTACAATAATTAATGCATGCTACTCCTTCAGCTGAACCGTTCAGCAGGCCCGGGGCTGACCGCCCCACGCCTCACGCCGGCTCAGGGCTCAGGGAGCCCCGCCAGTGGCAGAACCACAGGCCTGTGCTGCCGGTGCTTTTAAAGAAAAAACTATCCGCAGTTTTTATCTGAATGTAAAAAGAAAAGAAGATGCCACAAAGCAAGTCAGATTTCCAAATCAGGGCAGCCAGAGGCAACAGGAGGGACCATGAGAAGCACAAGTCGCCCAGAAGCAGCATTTCTCACATACGCGCCGGGAGGGTAGTGATGGAGGCTGGCTTGTAAGAATTCGGTGTCTACAAAGGGAAGCCAGATACGCTGCCACGGACGGGGGCCTGGGCTCCCGGGCACGGCCTCTTCTCTGGGGGAGGGCAGAAGGGGGCCCCAAAGCACCGAGACTGTGGGGGTCTCTGCCCCTCAGTGACCTCAGGCCCACGACGGCAGCAGATTGGAGGCCCGCACCTCCCGGAGTTCCTGGGAGTGTCCGTGTGAGCAGCTCCTGCCATGGGGTCTGTGGGGGCCTCAGGGAAAGGGCGCCCCCCTCAGGTGTGCAGGGCATCCCTCATGGCTGCCCCACCTGCACCCCACCTTTCCCCTCAGCTCTGCCACCCACAGAAGAACCTGCGTGAAGGTGCGTTTCTATTAAAAGGCTGGCACGTGATGACGTGTGAACAGTCTTTCCTTCTGGAAAATACTGCTCTGAGACTCTTAGGAAATCGTGCATGTTCGGCACTGGGTGACAAGGACAGGACAAAGTGCCCAGAACTGCACCTCGTAGGTGTCGGGAGCTGCTGCTCCGGTGTGTCCTGGACGAGCACACCCCAGCGTCCGTGCAGCCGTGAACACGAGCGGGGCCAGCAGCCGCTGTTCTGTCCACACCCAGACCAGGCTGCAGGGACCTGCGGGCTCTGGGCGCAGGGCCGGGGAGAGGGCCCTGACGTGGAGGACCGCCGCCTGCCCATGCACCACCCAGGCTCCGCCACACTCCCTGCTCTGGCAGACAGCATGCAAACAGCAGACGCCCAAACCAAGCCGAAAGTAAACCACCTTCTGTCAAAACGGCTTTAACCTGAGCAGGGGAGGGGTTACCAAGCAGGCGAGGTGGGGGTGGGAGGGAGGAGGGTCTCGGATGCAGAGTGCAGAGGTCACTCAGTGGTGGGGTCCTGACCCGCAAGGGGCAGCGGGACCACCAGGTGCAGGGCCGTGGGCTCAGGAGCTTCCTTCCGGGGGGGGGTGCTGTGGGGGTGCAGTCCCCCCCCCCGCCTCAGCCCTCGACGGGGCTTCAGGGCATCCTGGTCCAGTGGTTCCTGGTGGCCGAGTCCAGCCCTGTCCCCTACCCCTCTGGGCCCCTCCCTCCTACCTGTTTTGAACCAGCCGCCTGAGGTGAAGGCGTTTTTCGTCTCTTCGGGTTTATCCCAGTACCCATGGAACACGGAGGGCCCCCTGACGAGGAGCTCCCCCTCCACCTCCTCGAAGCCGGGGGTCACCTGTGGTGCAGGCAGGAAATGAGCGTCAGAGGCCAGTCCCTCTCAGGGCTGGGCCGCCCAGCCTTCCAGGCGCCCCACCCCTCGGGGGAGCACACGCTGCTGGAGGCTCTTGTGGGGACGACAACAGGAACGCCAGGAAAGCGCAGGGACCTCGGTGGATGTCACGCGTCAGCACCTGCTGCGCTTGCCCGGCCCCTAGGGGTCCACAGGGTCCTGGCAGGCGGGGACACTCGGTGTTCCCTCTGTGGCCACAGCTGGGGCAGGGAGGAGGCCGGGTCTTACAAGAACCTGAGTCAGGGCCTCTGTGACGCCAGGAAGGGGCCAGCGAGGCGGCCACCAGACACCAGGGCCTCACGCCCATCGTTGTTCTGAGCTAGCAAGGACACCGTGAACCAGGGACCCAGGAGCTCTCCCGTTCTGCTTCGCTCCCCTTGGAGTGAACTTCTCTGGGGGAAGACTCGCCCCCTTTCAGGAGGAGTCAGAGGCCCTTTGAAATGGGCTGTGAAACCGTCTGAGTTGCTCGTCTGAGGCCTGGAAAGAGCTGAATTTCCCCAGGGCGAGGAGAACCACCCGCAGCAGCTCTGCTTGGTTCGCAGAGCAGCCCGGGTCCCACAGAGGGAGCGTTCCCCAGGGCTGGGCTGCACCTCCGGGCCCAGGGGCTCCTGCAGGCAGCCTGCTTGGAGGAGGCGACTGTTTTTTCAACTGAATCACAGACTATTTGAATTTCACCAGTTTCCCCACCATTGTCCTTCATCTGCCCCATGGTCAGCCTGGCCGCGTGGGGGCACACCTGCAGGGCAAAGGCTGGAAAACCAAGTTGACGTGGGAACCGGCCCCAAGGATGGCAGTTCGGGACTCGCAGACTCAAACCAAGTGGATAAGAGTAAAACAAAAACGGTAAAAAACCCAAAAACAACACTCTCAACTGGATGTGAAGACGACTCTGAGTGTCCCAGCACAACATCAAAACGTCCAGGACGCAACACGAAATTACTCAGCACATGAAAAGCCAAGAAAACAACGGCTCTTGTGGGAAAGGCCCCCGAGCACGACGCCGGCGGACGCTTGGGGCGCGAGCGCCTAGAGACGTCACAGTCCGCGCGGTCGCTGTGCCTGACACGCAGGGGCGGCGCCGGAGGAGGGTGGGAGTCAAGTCGCAAGAGAGAAAGAAAAGGCACGAAGCAGAACCAGGTGGAAACGTCAGAACTGAGAGACACGGCAGCCGGAGCAAGGGAGACCTGCCGACGGGCTCAGTGCGAAGCGGAGAGCACAGAGAGCCTGAGGACTGGAGGGTGGGCCCACAGGCACCATCCAGTCTGAACGGAGAAGCGCACGGGGAGGAGCAGCGTCGCGGAGCCCAGGTCAGCGCCGCCGGGGCTCACGCGCCCGCTCCGGACTCCCAGCGGAGGAGAAGCAGGGGGCAGGAAGACGCTTGACAGAGTCTGGCCTGACACTCTCCAAGTCTGGTGAAACACAGACATAAGCTGCAGGAAGCTCAGTGGACCCCAAACAGGACAAGCCCGACACACCCCAAACCAATCACCGAAAACGGGAAGTCACGAAGAACACCCTTGAGAGCAGCCAGACGAGGGTGGGAACGGAGGAAGCAGGCGGCTGCTGACTTCTCGCAGAAACAGCGGAGGCCGGAGACAAGCGCGGTGACATCTCGTAAGGGCTGAAGTAAGTGTCAGCCCAGAATTCCAAATCCAGCGAAAACAACCTTCAGGAATGAAGGGGAAGTAAGAACGTTCTCAGGGGATGAAAAACTAGCAGAATCCGCTGTCAGCAGGTCTGATCTAAAAGAGCACGACAGAATGTTCTTCAGCCAGGAGGGCAACAACACCAGAGCCGACCAGGAAGGCAGGAGTGAAGGGGGGGCAGCGGGACTGGGGCTGCCAGGGGAACGAAATGCACCCCCCACGGTAACGGAGCCAGCCACGCACGAAGGTGTGGCAGCCACCACGTAAAGGGCGGGGGCGGAGCGACCCATGCGGCGACAAGACTCCCTGCTCAACCAGGCTGCAGTCAGGGCCTGAGCCTTCTCCTGGCCCATCGGTGCACTTCCTATAAAACCCAGTTTCAGCAAGAACTCTGCTAAGCCCCCACCGTGACATCTGATCACCCTCATATCTGACTGTGTTCCTCGCCGCCCCCACCCCAGCATCTCCCAGGTGATGTCTGATCACCCCGGCCAGCCTTCAGCAAAGATCCTGTTAGGCCAGTTTAGCCAGAACCCCCCACCCCTGATGTCTCCTCTTAGTAACTGCCCATCTACTGACCCCACGCGCCCCTTGGCTGTGCATCCCCACTTGCGGGCACCGTGCTGGGAGCTGAGCCCCGTCGCTCCCCCTCCTGCAGACCCACTGCAGTGGCCGCCACACGCATCGTGACAGTCCTGAGTGACGTTGGCCTCACCGTCTTTAACGTGTGATGAATCATTTTTTCTTTGACGGTGGTAGGAGTTCTATGTTGTTCTGGAAGTGTCACGATGTTGAATCCAAGTAGGTTTTGAAAAGTGAAGTATGTATGTTATAGTTCCTAGAACTACTACTAAAGACTAACAAAGACTGACATTCAAAAACAACAGATAAATTTAAATAGAATACTAAGAAAATGGCCCCAAAGGGAAGCCAAGCGATGAGAAACTGCGGGACCAGACAGCAAGCAAGCAGCGCACGCGAGGCTTAAATTCAAATGTGTCAAAAACCACATGAAATGCATGCGGTCTACACAGGCCAATTAGAAGACAGACTGGATTAAAAACCATGCGTGGTCCAACCATACGCTGTCTGTAGGAGACGCACGTCAAATACAGTGACACAGCAGGTCAGAAACAAAAGGCTGGAGCAATGTACACCGTGCAAACATCCATCAGGCAAAGCGAAGCGGCTGCACTAACGTCGAACAAAATGAACTCAGCAGCGGAGCATCACCAGCAGCGTCGCAGGATGACAGCAGTCAGCTCACCAAGACACAGCAATTATAAACGTGCCTTCACCAAGCAACAGGCTTTCAAAGTGTGTGACACAAAAACCTGCGGCAGAAACTGACAGTTCCAGCTGGAGAGTTCAACCCGCTCACTTGGTAACAGAACCAGTCGTCAGGGAACCACAGACGGGGGAGACCTGCGCTCCAGCTACCTTCACCGGACGGACATGCACAGAACCACAGAACACACTCTTCTGTGGTTAAACGTTAAACTAGAAATCAATAGCGGAAAAATTTCCAAATACCTGAAAATAAAGAACACACTTCTGAATAGTCCATGAGTCCAAAAGGCTTAGGGAAAATCAGAAAACATTTTGAATTGAATGAAAATTAAAATACAACATGTCAAACATTTAGGGGCAGAGCTAGAGCAACGTTTAGAGGGACGTTCACGTCACTAAATGCATGTGTTACACGAGAGGGAACGTCTCAAATCAATAACCTAAAGTTTGATGTTAAGAAACTAAAGAAAGTGAAAAATAAGTCAAGAGCAAGCAAAAGAAAAGCAACAAAAATAAAAATGGAAACCAATTAAAGTGAAAAGAGAAAAGCAACAGAGAGTTTTTATATTCAATGAATTCAAAAGTTCTTAAAAAAAGTTCAATAAAATGGACAAACTTTCAGCAAGAATAGCAAAGGAAAAAATAGAAGACAAATGATCAGTATGAGGCGTGGGAAGGATATCGCTCCAGACTATGTGGATGTTAAAAGAATAAGGAAACATTATGGAAAACGATACACATAAACCCTTCAATTCCTCAAAAACACAATCTACTGAAACTCGTCCCAAACGCGCCAGGTGACCTGGATGGTCCTATAGCTATTAAAGACATGGGATTAATAGCTAAAACCTTCCAAAAAGGAAAGCTCGAGGCTCTGATGGCTTTATTGGAAATTCTATAAACTACATGCCACCAATTATATACAGTCTCTTGCAGAAAATAGAGGAAGAGGAAACATTTCTCAACTAATTTCGATGCCAGCCTTACCTAGACACACAATTCAGAAAAGACGTTTAAGAATAGGAAGCTATAGACCAAACTCCCGCATGAACATAGACGCAAAAAGCTCAACAAAGCGTTACCACATCAGCCCCAACCCCACGTGAAGAGCAGGACCGGCCATGACCAACTGCGTGAAGTGAGAAGACACTGATTTCATTCATTCTTAGGGGCAGGTTTTCACATTCAGCATCTTTGAAACTGCGCTGTGTCACCACCAGCGGTGACCTGGAACTGGTGAAGGAGGGGATGGCCACGGGCCACGGACGCTGCCCTTTCGCACCCCCGAGACAGCAGCTGCCAGCCTGCGGGCTATGTGGCCTCAGATGTGGAGCAGAGAGTCAGGGTCTTCTGGGACCAAAGCCAAGTCTTCCAGAGAAGTCCCCTCAAGACCCCCCGACATTCAGCACGCCACCTGGGCCCGCACGGCAGGGACGCCACCTCTGCAACAGGCTTGCGGGCGGCAAGGGCCGTGTGGCGGCCCTGGGACCCCCGTGCAGCCGCGAGAACACCGGGCTCACCCTGGTCTCTGTCTCATTCCCTTCCGCGTGGACGATGTAAGGGCAGCCGTCCTTCTGCAGGTTTTCTGAGACAATGCGCACCTCGACGCCAGGCAGCGGGGTCCCCACGGACCCTGTGAGGGGCGGAGAGACACGAGGGAGACGGTCAGCTGTGTTCTGAAGGAGACGGCGGCACCCCCAAGGTGCTGGGTCAGCCTGACTGCACGCACTCGGGTGGGAGGAGCCCCAGGAGCGGAGAGCAGCACCCACGCAGGACACGCAGAGCTGCAGCCGGCACTCCGGACACTCCAGACAGCCCGCAGGCCCCTCGGGAGGGCTGCCCAGCACCTGGGCAGGGTGCAGGGGCCCTACAGTTGCACAGATGAGCGAGGGACTTGGGGGGGAG